TCCACAGCCGGGGGTCTCCGCCTGGGCCCGGGAGAGGATGGGGCTCCATTCACGGGGAGCGGCACCCCCGAGGGCAGCGGGACCCCCGAGGACAGTGGGACCCCCGAGGGCAGCGGGAACCCCAAAGGCAGCGGGAACCCCGAGAGCAGCGGGACCCCCGAGGGCAGCAGGAGCCCCGAGGGCAGTGGGACCCCCAAAGGCACGGTACCCCCGAGGGCAGCGGGACCCCCGAGGGCAGCGGGAACCCCGCTCTCGCAGCCCCGTCCCGTGCGCTCCGTCCCGCCCGGCGCTGCCCCCGCCGCTCCCCCGGGGCCTCCCGCCGGCCGAGAGGCAAAGTCCGCCCCGGCGGGCGCTAAGGGCCGGGCCGAGCCGTGCCGGGCCGGGGCGGGGGCCGGAGGAGAGGCCTTGGCGCTGATTTGCATAAGGTATAATGCCTTATGGTGGCCGTCATGGCTTGGTAGAGCGCGGCCCGCGGCCCGCAGCAGCCGCGGCCGGGGCGGAGCGGGGAGGAGGGAGGCGAGCGGCGGGCGCGCCGCGGCCCCGGGAGGATGGTGTCCCAGCTGAGCGCCCTGCAACGGGAGCTGCTGGGCGCCCTGCTCAGCTCCGGGGCCACCAAGGAGGGGCTGATCCGCGCCCTGGAGGACATGGTGCCCGCCGCCGGCTTCGGCGTCAAGCTGGAGAGCCTTCCGCTGTCTCCCGGCGGGCCCCCCGACGGCAGGGCCGCCCTCCCGCCGCTGGCCAACGGGCACGGCAAGGGCAAGCTCTCGGGCGACGAGGGCTCCGAGGACGGCGACGACTTTGACACGCCGCAGATCCTCCGCGAGCTGCAGTCGCTCAACACGGAGGAGGCCGTGGAGCAGCGGGCAGAGGTGGAGAGGATGATCAGGTACCGGCACCGGGCGCACCCCGCGCCGCGTCCGACGGCCCCGAGCGCCCTGCCCGGGGGTCGTTCCCGGTGTGAACGAGCCGGTGCCGGGTGCCGGCGCTCCCTGCCCTTCCCGCGGTCAGTGCCGGCGCTCCCTGCTCCGTGCGTCCCGCCCGGTGGCGGCTCCCGGTGCTGGCGGGGAGCGGGCAGGGGGAAGCCGGAGCCCGGCAGCCGCGTCTCCCCCGCCCCGTCGGGGCTGCCCTCCCGCCGGTCCCGGGGGTGCCGGGGGTGCCTGGGGGCTCGGACCGGCCGCCGGCTCCGTCCCTCCGCGCCGGCAGCTCAAACATAAACCGCACCACGTGGAGCCCGGGGCGTTATTAATTTATTTCTATAAATCATCAACAGAAAGATACACAAAGGGCCGCGATCAGGGCGATCGGGCCGGCGGGTTATTCATTGCAGGGGTTGTAAAGCGGACCGGCAGCGGGGAAAGGAGGAGGGAACCCCCGACGGCGGCGGCTCCGCTCCKGCCCGTCCCGAGGTGCGGCTCCGCGCTTGGCCGAGCCGAGCTTGGTCCGGTTCGAACGGGGCAGCCCCGGGCTCGGCGGGCAGAGCGGTACCGAGCCCGCTCCGAGCCCCGGGGAAGCGGCGGCCGCATCTCCCGCGGGCCGGTGAGAGCAGGTGGCAGCGCGGCGGGGACAACCCCGGGTGCGGCGGGGCCACCTCGGGCTCTGTCCGTGTGTCCCCGCTCCGCTCCGGTGCTGTTCCCGTTCCCGTGCCGGTGTTCCGGGAGCGCGGCCCCGCTCCTGCCCCGCTCCTGCCCCGCTCCTGCCCCGCTCCTGCCCCGCTCCTGCCCCGTTCCTGCCCCGTTCCTGTCCCGTTCCTGCCCCGYTCCTGTCCCGTTCCTGTCCCGTTCCTGYCCCGYTCCTGYCCCGYTCCTGCCCCGTTCCTGCCCCGCTCCTGCCCCGCTCCTGCCCCGCTCCTGCCCCGCTCCTGCCGCCCGTGTGGGCCCGTGTTCTGCACCAGCCCCGGGGCAGCCCCAACTGTTCCCCGGACACCCCGGTGCCTCAGCCCGCGCTCCCGTCTTGCCCCGGTGCCCTTTGTGGACGGGGCAGTGTCACCCGTGCCAGCCCAGGCTGGGACCCTCCCGGTGCCAAGGGGGTTTCTTGCGAGGGAGGATCCATCGCAGCCTTTCCCGCTGGATTCCCACCCGTCCTGCTTGGTTCCTGCACCCCTGGGTGCTCCCTCCCGTCCCCGGTGCCCTCCGTGCCGGCCMCATCCATGCCCGGGGTGCCCGGGGGTGCCGGGCAGGCTGAGCCCCGGGATCACCGTGCTCCCACAGGTGTTTCTGTGCAAAGTTTGCCTTTGGTGCAAACAAGAGCGGGCACATGTCCCTGAGGAGCCTTTGCAAAGAGCTCGTGTTTGCTCTAAGAGAGGCCTTTGTACTTGGAGAGGGAGCGGGTAGGAGAGCCGGGAGACACCGACTGCAGCCATGCTTGGGGGCTGAACCCCCTCTTCTCCCACTCTCCTGGTGTCCTGACCCCAAGGCAGGCTCACTCTCAGGTATTCCCACTCCCTGTAGCTCTCCCGTATCTGATTTGGGCTTTGCTGCCCGCCCATGGCCTGGTGGGTGCCGTGGTGCCCGTGGGTCCCCCCAAACACAGATCCCAGCTCTGGAAGAGCCACCCCACGGCTCCCATCACCTGCCAGGGCTCACCCAGACCCCACTCTGGGAAATAATGCACCTGAGGAGCACCCAGATCCCATTCATGAGCTGGGAACTCGGGAAAGCCACCAGCCCTGGAACCCAGCAAATCCACCCCAAAATGTGCGGGGAACGGAGGGTGCAGCCGATGCCTCGGTGTGAGGGAGATGCTGACCGGGGGCGTCATTTCTGCACGGAGCCGCSTTTATAATCCATCTCTATAMATTCTTGGCATATTTYTCGGAGGATRTRGAGTGTATTTACCTGGTTTTGAGGCTGGCAAAATGGGTGAGCTGCTCTGGGAATCCCTGGGAAGAGGAAGGGCTTTGCCCTCCGCCTGCGTGTGAGGCTGAATGGGGAAATGGCTCTTTCTCGGCCAGCGTTCGTGGGGCTAATTTTGTGCGAGAAAAACACACCTTTCCATGATTTTGGTGAAGAAGGATYGTGGAGCCAGGGCTATGAACTGGTTTTCCAATATTAGAAAGCACTCCTGGGTTGGGTCGAGGTTTTGGTTTTGTTTGTAAGTAAAGTCCTGTTGAAGATTGGACAATTAATGTTTGTTTTATTTCATTTTGGTGACAGAATCAAAGAAAAAGGGCTGGTGTTGACTCAAAAGGTTTTCCTCTCTGGCTTTTTAGGTTAACCAAAAAAGAAAGGAAAAAAAAGAGGCCAAACAAACACTCAAACGTTTCATTTTGGGTCAAGTCCAAACATTTTGTTTAACATGAAACAAAATGTTTGGGTTTGGTTTCAGGTTGTTTAACCCTTTTGAATACGGTCAAGTTGGTTTGTAAAGGAAAAAATCACTGCTCAGAAATTAAGAGCTGAATAATTGTTTTGAAAGTGTAAGTGTGAAACACGTTGGAAATGTCAAGGTGAAACCTTTTTWAAAATAATTAAATGGAGGGAAATTCTGGGACTTTTTTTTTTGCTAATTCTCAGATATTTTTCCATCCAAAATGCTGCCAAATTTTATTTGAGTTCCACAATTTTGTCTGTAGCCCCCGAGTCACTCGTTTGACATTTTCCAAGCGTGCTCTGTTTCCCTGGCTCACGGTTTCACTCTGGGCTCGTCTGTGAACCAAACCACTCTCAGAAATGAYAATGAGCTCTGTTTCATTAACTTATTATTAATCAGTAATTAGTGGGATCAGTGAGGTGACATGAGCTGCTGGTGACAAAGGTCTGCCCGAGCCCCTCAGTCCACGCACGGCGGTGGCTTTGCCTGGTGCCGCAGGGGAGAACGCTTTCTCCTCATCCTCCTCCTCAATTCCCACTTTCTCCTGGGAATCATCACATGGAAAGGACCCCAAAAACAGCGGGGTTCTCCAGCCTGGAGGATGCAGGGCTGGGCACAGGCTCAGCGTCTCCAGGAAGGCTCCTGTGCCTCCTTCCCGGGGTGTGACAAAGCCAGGTTGGCTCTGCTCCGGTACTTTTGCCGTGGATCCAACCAGCTTTGTTTTCAAGCTGCATTCAGGACAAAAAAAAA